CCCCCCCCCCCGTTCGGAGCCCACACGCACCAACTAGCGAGCGAACGCCTGTGCGTTCGTTGACTCAAGGGGCACAGGATCCTGGTCCGAGCACCTCCCCCCACCACCACCGCTGCCCAGTGCCATGCGGCCGCGTGGTTGCTGCCCAACCAAGTCAGCACGCATGGGAGAGCGGGCAGCCGGCCCCACGGCGCAGGGCTGCACTGAACGTGATTGTGTATGAAATGCCGGATGCCTGCTGCGACTTTATCTTATGCCATTCCAGGGACCTGAAATGTTGCAGAAACCATTCTGCTGCTTTCCAGCAAAGCTCTGCTCGAAAGAAGAAGACGTTGAGACCCACACCACCAGCGGGGCCTGCCTGCCTGTGCGCGCACCCTCAGACATACTGCCAACCTCACCCACCCCCAGGATTTTGCGCACTTTGGCAAGCAATGCTTCCAATGCACGCCAACAGGCATACGCGTTGCACACCCTAGGACTTGTGTTGACGTTTTTGAAGCGATGCACCGCACATACAGCGCCTCGCATGCATGCTGCTCAGGCACCCTCTCTTTTACTTTCCACCAAACCCAAAAAAGAGACACCTGAGCCTGCTGGGTAACAAGGTGGCCTTTCCACATGGTAATAGGCGCAGGTTCAGTATGACCTGCCTGTGGTGGCAGCCCTGCACCCTGATGCAAAGCACACATGTACACGCGTATGCGTGCGCCCAGCAGGTCAGTGAGAGCAGCCGTGTGCCCACGTGGGCGCATGCAGAAGCGCCGTCCCGGGGCCCTGCCTTGCTGTGGGGGAAAAGGCGAAATGCGACCACACCAGCCGTGCATGGGTGCCCTCTAAACGACGGCGTAGACAGCTGCACGCTAAACTAAAGTGCACGCGCAGGCTCCAACAGGCCCCAACATGCGGCAAACGGCAGATTCGTGTGAACGAGGCCAGCATCACACAATGCAATGAGCAATCAGGCGGGTGCGGGCGCTTGGATGCCAACGGGCGACCAGGGGACGCCCTACACCAGGGGACGCGGTGCAATTCTTGTAAATACAGCTTGTGAGCAGGTGCGCGCGATGTGCATCGTCGCTCACGGAGCATCGGCAGTCGGTGGTGCGCAGGCCGATGTCGGGGGGCGCCGCGAGCTCTGGGGCGATTCCTTAATGGAGGTGATGCCAGACGGCGCAAAGATGCAGATCAAAACAGGATGGTGCGCACCGCCCGTTTCGTGTGCGCACACACAGACATGAGGCGTTCGGCGTGCATTCGGTCATGCGGCACAGGCTCGCGCCGATTCTGCAGGAGTTGCGCAACGGAAATCCCAATAAAACCCACCGAGGACAGTCGTCGGTCAAAGCAATGACACGGTTAGCAGCACAGAAACCTGGTGTCGATGGGGGTTTGGCTCTGCGCCCAAGCGTGGATACTTGATGGTCCAGGCTACAGCCGCTACTGGAGCTGGCGGCGAGTCGAGTTGCAAGAGGAACTGGTGGGGCAGCCCAACCATGTTAATCAGAGAGCGGGAACCGCCTCAAAACATCGAGAAGAGGAAGCTGGCGAGCAGCCGGGCGTAGAGGGTCATGGCCGCCCAGGCCCACCAGGGGGCGCGGCCGCCAGCTGGCAGCAGCAGCTTCGCTGCCAACAGGGACAGGTACCATGAAACTGCGGGGCAGCTGCGGCCTCCACCCATGAAGGCAGCAAGGTCCTGCGCAGAGAGTGCAGTCAGGATGAGGGGACATGACACCGCGAGCGGCAGGCGAAGGGGCGGGCGAGGTAGGGAGGGAGCACAAGGATGTGCACGCAGGCCAAGGGACTCAGAAACGTGGGTGGCGATTGGGTTGAGCAGCGCAGGACGCCCCCTCTCCTGCTGATGGCACCACAACTGCGGGGAGCGACGGCAGGAGCGCCGCACTCTCTGGTGGGACAGGCGCAGGCGTGATCGGCTGCCCGCGCAAGCTCACCAGCTCAGGGATGCGCTCGAGCAGCTGCCGCGGCCAGGCGGTTGCGGCGGCGCCGCCGTGCGGGAAACGGGCGCCGCCCCCGGCCACACCGGCCAGCCGCCGCCTGCAGGTGGCGCGGGGTGGTGCATACATTGCGATTAAAAATGGTGCTGGCGCAACAGTCGTCGTGTTTGCGGTGCAGGCTGTCGATCCGAGCAACTGCCAGGTGCTGCGCTTGATGCTGCACACACTGCAACAGGATCTGCCAAAACGTGTCTGCCCGTGCCCGCAGATTGAATCGATGTTCAGCTGCCGCCCTGGTGTTGCCAAAAAATCAAGAAGTGCTCACTTGGCTTGCAGGCTCAGCGCAAGCCAAAAGGCACGCATCGTGCCTGAACCGGCGGGCTCGTGGCAGGGCGGGAGGCGCTTCGAGGCGTCGGGCTGGCCAGGGGCGGTGAGGCCTGGGCGCTGCAGCGGCCAGCTGGCGCGGTGCAGCGGCGGCTGGGGCCGGCGCCAGCAGGCCAGCTGCGGCGCCAATGCAGGCGGCACGGTGGGTTTCGATGTTGACTGAGGGCGCGGGCGCTGCAGGGGGACGGGCGCAGGGGCGGCTGCTGATGGCCCCTGTGGCGGCTCCAGGGCGCCGCTGCTCACGCCTCCCGTCGGCTCGCTGGCCAGCCACCATGGTGCGCATCGCACCTGAGGGATGGGAGCAGCAGCACTCCAGGCAGAGGCCGGCGCGGTCGCAGCGAGCGCCAACAAAACCATCAGAGCGGCGGCTGCGGTGCAGTGGGCTGTGGCCGCCGCTCGGCGGCGCCCCATTGGGCCTGGCTAGCAGGGGTGGTGCAAGATCAGGCCCTTGCGTTGGGCTGCCTTCAGATTGGTCGACGGCACATGTTGGGGGCTGCGCGTGGGTTGGGCTGTGAAATTTGGGGCGCGTAGTTGCCTACAAGTGGAGTGTTGCAGGGAGGGGATGAAGGCGAGGGTATCAGCAGGGCGGTGACGCCGGACGCGCCGATGGGGCCCAAATTGCGCCACCGTCGTGGCCAACCGAAAGGTGTGCCTGTCGGTCAATGATGATACGAAGACTCGATGAATGCGCGCATGCAATCCCACATTGGCCCATGTAATCTCTGCTCGGCCCAAACCGACAACTTACCGTACGCGCTGCAGACGTACACGGGTTGCTGCTGCAGCCAAGCCTCGAATTTTTCTGCGCAAAGCTTCACGTTCCTGGACCCCCTATAGACGATACTATCACTGCACTTAGGCAGATTGGCCGGTGCTTTGATCTGAAAGGGAGTCCCAGGGTGCATAGCATGAAGCGTAACCTGGTTCGATCCCTTGAAATGATACCAGTCCTGACGCATAACATGCGCCAGGTGGTGATCAGCTCGCCAGGCCTTGCTGGCAGGGCCCTGGACACACTCACGAGACACCAGGACTTCGGCACTGGTGACACCCTGCAGCCACCCATGGTTCTCACAGCATCGCATGAGTGCACGATGCAGTGCCCTAGATTGGTGTATTGTCCATGTTCATTAATTGTGATGTACATGGGCAGGGATACCCCACTCGCTTTTGCACCGCTGCTTGCCACAATTGCCGTGTGGGTGTCTACGGTGATGGGCTCCTCCAGTCACCACAGGGTAACAACGTGCTCCTCACTGCATGCATGCAACTTCGGTGATTTCTCTTTTGTCATAGCAGGCAAAAACATGCTACGGGCAAAGCAAGGTTGGTGTACGTTGTACTGTGGTGAGTTGCCCCGCGTCGCTCCACATGGTATTGGCACGTGCCGCTGTTGAGACAGGATGGGCCGAGGGACCAAGGAGGGGCTTGGGCCGTCTATAAAGGTCCGGTTGAGCTGCATGTCAGAGACTGGATGTGGCGTTACCATGCAGCGGTGGCCGCGGGGCAGCAGTGCAGGCGG